TCAGGGTGCAGGGTGCGGCAGGGGGCTCAGGGCAGGGGGTTGGGGTGCAAGAGGGGTGCAGGGTGCAGCAGGGGGCTCAGGGCAGGGGTCAGGGTGCAGGAGGGGTGCAGGGTACGGCAGGGGGTCGGGGTGCAGGGTGCGGCAGGGGGCTCAGGGCAGGGGGTTCAGCTGCAGGAGGGGTTCGGGGGGCAGGATCTGGCCCGGCACGTACCGGGGGCAGGGCAGGCTCCCTGCCTGTCTGCCCTGCCCCCGCAAGAGGCTGGAACATGGGGAAGGGGAGGCGGAGGGGCTCGTCCGGCCGCTCTGGTAAACACTGGGGGGCTCATGGGCCGCAGAAAATCACCCCGCGGGCCGCGTGTTTGAGACCCCTGCTCCAGACCTACCAGGCCACTCCATCCCCTCCTCCCAGGCTGGAGGCCCCCCCGGGGAAGAACTGACGGGTGGTCCATACACACAGTGTCCGCCCTGTTAGACTGATCCCCACCTGGGGTGGTAGCATGGGCGGGTGAGCTCGTCCTTTCTGTGCAGCAGCATCAGGGGGAACCCACAGGGCTGGTGGCTGGGTCAGACACTGGAGAGATCGCCTGCCCTGGCTGCAGTGGGTAAGTCCTCCCCTCCCCGCGATACGGCCCAAGCCCCGGTCCCTGCCGGACTCACCTTAATGACCATCTCAAAGGTGAAGACACCCGTGAAGACGTAGTCAAAATAGCGCAGAACCTTTGGGGGAGAAGAGAGGGAGGATCTCAAACGCCCCTCTGGCTCCTCTTGCTAGCACCCCAGGGCAGGAGGAGACCCTGCCTTAATCACACTGCAGCCGGGATCCCCGGCTGAGGCTGGCACAAGGGGGCCAGGCAGTGTCTCTTCCAGCAGTGGTTTGAGGAGGCTGTCTGAGACCCACCAGGCTCACAGCGCGCAGAAACCACCAACTAAGTGTTCCAAGGGGAACGGCCCAGATTCAGACCAGCGATAGCCCATTCCCAACCCTGTGCTGCCTAGTCCCTGGCCTCCAGGAGCAACGCCAGGCCTATGGAGTGCAGGTGTCGCATCTCCCCACGGGTCTCTGGTGGGTGCTTCCATGGGGATGGGGTTTTCAGCCCCCCTGTGCCATTAGGGTCCCCACTCATACTCTTAGGCTGGGTGCAACCTGTGGTCATAGATACCCCGGGCACTCCCAGCAAGTGTCCAGGTGGGAACCCCGGTGTCCTAGTCAGACACCAACATGGGTCCTCTCTGTTCCATCTCCCTCAAACTCCCCCTCAGCAGTTACAGGCAGACAGAGGATTCTCCTTCACTTCCTGACCCAGCATGTTGTGCTGCCTTGGCGCCTGGCTGTTAAACAGCTGCTGTGCCCCACCCCAGAGGGGGCTGCA